CAATTTTAATAATAATATATTCTAAAGTCTAGACACTATTGAAAAATACAGGCAGCTTTGGATGCTTTATCTACTGTATTCCTGTTAGCCTTGGGCTCATGCAATAATACATTAAGGGATAATAAGTATTTCTCCTGAAGCCTCAGTCCCTGAGTGGAGGATGAGACAGAGAGCTACTTTACAGAGGATCAGTGGTTCTGGTCTAATTAATAATTAATGATTCAGGCGCCACATTAATAAAACACAGTTTGCATCAGTTCTTTCAACAGCACATGAACTGACTACATACTATTTGGAAACATCATGGCAAAGGTCAACAGTTGTACATGTAAGTTGTGTTAGAAGAAAATCACAAATTAGATGGTGACAGAAACATTTCAACCATTATTTGTAGAATTTTACATGTTAAAACATTGTTGGCATCTAGTGCCAAACTGATTTACTATTTCTGAAAAGGAAAAATGTTTCCTGAAATAGAGAAGAAAAATGGAATAAAATTGCCTTCAAGCTGCGTCTAAATCTCATGTGCCAATAAATACAAAACACACTCACAGAGGGCTTTGCAGATAAATTTATTCAAGTAAACAGAGCTGTACTCAAAGAAAGTACACAACAAAAAAAAATGTACGACCACAGGTAAACCATAGTTTATAAGGAAGTTTGTGCATATACTACAATCCTAAACATGTTCTTTACAAAGTCATCTGAATACACACACTCAAAAAACATGTGTTTTCTCTCGTTCACTTACACACGTGCATGCACGCACGCACACACACACTCCTGACATTAAAGGCATCATACTGAGATGTATTTTCTAGTTTTTACATATCATTGTCTGTATTTAAATTCATTTCTAACATGATTCATGTCGTGAGTTGAGTAGATCCAGTAACACTGTCTCTTCATTGTTTATCATTCAGCTTCAGAGCATGCAGGGTTTAGTCCTGTTAGTTAATGTGTTCGCTCGTTATTTTGATTTCTTTAAAATGCAATGACGACAAAGCATTGACTTGTTTTACTGATTTGCTATGTGAGAAATAATGTTTGATCTATCCTCTGTGAAGGGATAAACTATTCGGATGCTATAAAATATAAAACCTACTGAATAAGCAAAGCCGGATAAATAGTGAAAATGATATACATTGCACTTTGTTTGTACTTTAACAAATTAAAAATAAAAACAAATCAATCACCTGATTATATGGGAGCGAGTGTTTGGCAACTGTTTGTTCCTTGTCAGCTGTTCTTCTCCTGTATTTCAGTAACAACCTTCAGATTCAGTGTAGAGGGAATGTTATTTAAATAAAGTTAATACAAAATACTGTTTAAATCTAAACCACTATGCCTTTATACACCAGCTCGTAGTCAAAATAATTTATCCTGGGAGTTTTATGGCACTTTTGTTAAGAGGCACAAGTAAATAACTTTGGTCAGATGAAGCCGACTCATCTGCAGTCTGACTTCATCATCATCCTCCCTAAGGAAATGCAGAATTTATAATCCTTTCACTTGTATTTATATAGATTTTGATACAATTTACATTTGATGTCATGAAAATCAGATTTTTATGTAACACTGGTTGGATCAGTATATTGTGTATTTGAGTAAAGGTTCTGAATATATAGTCTAAGTGAGGAATTATTTATCAGTGTATGAATCTGTTTCCACAATCGAGTTAAAAATACCTTTTTGTCAGTTTGTTCAATATGAACTTCACATGAGGAAAGCATGTCGCGTATTAAAACACTCCTCTGTAGCTCAAAGGCACTGGTGATCCCATAATATCACAAGGTTGGCACCAAAGAATAAAACGTCATGCAGACATCAACATAAAGAATTTTCTGTCCTGCTTCACTCATCCCATGTCTCAAGAGAAGGTGATTCACTCCCTTAGTCAGAAGCACCAAATCATTGGGGTCAAAATGATTCTCATTTTCCAGTATGAAGTATTAGGGTATTGGGGGGAGTATTAGGGCGTATTAAAGAGAATAAGTTGCAATAATATGATAATTCAAACTTTACAAAGTGGTAAAATTACAACTTTTTTTCTCAATTACGTCTTTATACTTGCAATATTATGACTTTCTTCTCAATTACGTCTTTATTCTAGTAATACTACATCTTTACTCTCATAATATTGTTATTTTCGTCTCAATTACTCTTGTAATATTACAACTTAATTCTGGATTTAGTTTTCTTCAGTATGACCCTAATACTCCGTTGTAGTCGTCACAGAGGTGAGAAGTAAACGAAATGCTTTCATTACTTGTGAAATGTTTAAACATGCCAACACTTGGGAGCTTTACTAAATCTAATTTTAAAGACACTAATGTTAAATGCTAGTCAGCTGGTTTAAATGCTTCTTCAGTCCGTTGCTAATTCAAATAAATTGCAGGCAGATTAAATGAACAGTAAATGTACTGTCATTTAAAATAACAGTTGAAAATATAATACTACTATTTTGAGAATGGCTCTTGTACTTGTTGCCTGGGTGACAAACGTGTTTTTTATTCTTCATTCGACTGACAAACTATAGTAAACAGACAAGAGACACATACACTCTACATACACACGGCACATTCATGCATACAGCACATACTGTACAACACTGGTGTGTGGTCGTGTTCCTCTGTCGTGACTCTCCGCGTTGCAGAGGGGTTCGCTGGCTCTAATGGATGAAGGGCATGCGCTCCTTGCTGTCGTTGTCTCCCTCGGGCTCCTCCTCTTCCTCTCCTGCTTCACTGGTCTCTGTGCTGTCGCTGGCCATCTACATCAGAGATAAAAATACAATCCAACTCTCATTAAGTGTATTACCGAAATTGCACCGAAAGGAGAACAGAGGTGAGCGTAGATGTGAGCAGACGTGAGGAGGTGCAGTGTATAGCAGAATGTGCTCTTGGCTAATGGGCAGCTGTATAATATGGTTTCAATATGAGCATGTCTATAGGTCTAATGGCTTTTCTTGGTTTAATGTTGAGATCACCATGGAAACGAGGGCTGTAAAACAGGAGGAAATCCCACTCACAGCCTCCGTATGACCGTGACTGGACCTGACACTGCATCACAAACTAAACTGAATGATGACTCAATCACAAATAGCACATTGCAAGTCAGCCAGCTAATTAGCCACGTAGTTAATTAACCAGACATATAAAAATCATTCCTAAAAAACTATTTCACCATCTTTTTAAAGGAGCAGTGTGTGGAATTTAGTGACATCTAGAGGTTGAAGATTTCAGATTTCAACCACCTGTCAGTTTTAAATGATTGTTGTTACCAGAGGAGTGGGCGACTTCTCCATATCCAGGATGAGTTTTCCAATGTTTCCTCTGTCGTGAATTCTCTGCATGGCTTCTTTTACCTGAGGATAGAACGCAATAGTTACAAAAACTACATCAAATCAAACGAAACCCAATTATACACAATAGACATAGTCTTCAACCAAACCCCTAAAATTATGAAGTTTTTTTATTTTTAGGTTGTTTTTTTTTTGTTGGTTTCGAGGACTGTGCTGCCCTCTAGTGGAGCTATTGCTTGACAACTATGTCAACGTTAAGGTTGATGAAGGAATGTGGGCAGCAACGGTTAAATATTTTGAAATCGATGGATCTCTTTTCATAGCAACACCCCTGCATTTGAGTATAATCTGGATGATTTTATAGATAAACCAAAAGTGTCCATTGAACCCTGGGAAAATTTTCAATTTTCAAAAAACAAACAAACACAGAATTAGAATTCCTCACAAATCTGTATTTGAAATGAAATGAATTCTTCTCATAAAATCCACTTTCAACAATAAAAGCTCTGAAAGAGGAGGTCTGCTGCTGCAACATGGAGACAAGGGTGAAATGTTTCCACACAAAAGAGACACTTGCAACCATTTCCTGGTTATTACAGACGCAGGATCCCTTTTCTCAGAACAGCTATAATCTTAACTCCCTCTGTGTGAGACTTTAATGGCCTTAATGTTGACTAAACGATGCTGACTCATCCTGCTGGGCCACGTTTGACATCGCAAGGAGCACCTCACTGCCTGCAATGATCCCAGACAGTCTATATTAAGCAGACAAGTACAAGACACTGCTTTATTTTAACTGTGAGTGCAGGAACAATGAAGGTTGCATTTTGCATGGGGGACACAATAAACCAGCTTTAGAGTGGTTGAACAGAACTGGCTCGAATAACAAATAAATGACGTGGATAATAAAAGTCTCAGATTCCTGGAGGACACATACGTTTTTCATATCCATAATCAAACCTAATACAGCTCTGCAGACAAATTGTCCTGCTGGAGTTTGTTTAATTTGTAAAGGATGATGAATGAATTAAACATCTTTATAATAATTGTAGTGAGGATTGAATATTAAAATGAACTGCAGCATAAGCTATAAATCTCTGCCCACTAGAAGCACTGTTTATCACTGCGTTGGGCTCATCATCATTTCCTCATTTACCGGACCACCTTTTTACAGTTACTTTACATTGTCATTGTTATGAGGTCAGAAAAATATACATTTTGAATATCAACAATGGACCATTGGATTTAAAAAAAAGCAGTAATTATGTTTCTTTCCGAATTTAGGAGACTGAGTATAAAGATGCAGGACACGTCTCCATTTCCTCCAGAAATGAAGGTAAAATAATCAAACGCTCATCTAGCACATTTGGAGTCAGAGTCTGTGCAGTAGCGTTCGGGGGGCGGAGCCGCGGTAGCGAGGTCCCGTCAATGCACGCATTTGACCAATCGTGAGTCAGTCTCAGCTGTCAATTATGGCATTCAAACTCATTTTTATAGCATTAAATAAATTCTTAAAACCAATATAGGAAACACGATATAATACACCAGTGTGATGAGAGCTACGTGAAATGAAACCGTCTTTGAGAAAAGTTTATTTGACTTTGAGCGGAACTATACTGCAGCCAGCCACCAGATGGCGATCAAGATGCTTTGGCTTCTCTTTTGCATCATGTCCTTTAAACAAAACTAGCAATGACTGACCCATCAATTCTGTTATATTGATATGGGACAGTCGTGTCTGACATTTAATACAACAGAGATCTACAGACAGGGCTTTAATCAGTCCACACTCAGAGTGAAGGCCAGGCTTCTGTCATCAGGGAGTCTGCCCACAGCATGTTTTATATGAGCTGACATTTTGTTCAGATTCAACAAACCTTCCCATCTCTGTGCTACTAATCATAAAATTTGTCGAAGGCTGCTAGATTGGATCGACTGGTCCAAACTATAAAAAAATTGAAGATCGTTGAAACTCGTTAAAGCTTCTCTGACTCATTGTGTACTGAAAAATTCACACTTTATTAAAGATTACTCAAGATGCCATATCTTGCTTTCTCATTACAATCCACACAGAGACACAACTGAGCTGACGGTGCCTCTTTGTCTACAAGCCATTGTGTCAGAAGCATCCATTTGTTAAATGAGATGATGGAGATCAAGCCAAGAGCAAAATTAGGTCAGAAACTTGTCCAGCGTGCAGCTACGAGGGAAAACAAAGAAGAGAGGGGGCATATAAGTTCCACTTGCATTTAGATCACTGAGAAATACTATTTATATGGCCACCTTTATTTTGTAGTATCCTAAATATCATACACCCTGGAAACCAAAGTAAAAGATAAACAAATAATTTCCTCACTGGAACTGCTGGTGGTCAGAAAACCTGGGATTCTGCTCCAGTCACACACACGCTCCACCTTTTCATTCCAGGAGAAAAAAAGGTTGCCATGGTCAAAGTGTAAACTAACACCGTCTGAATTCTCCTTCCAGGCATATACACAAATCAGGCAGGCTGTGCCTCCAACACAACATCCCACGCCATCCTCCCATCTAATGAGATTCTTCATGGGCAATGGTTCCAGTGAATGGCCTGTGCAATCTGCCAAAGTTTAATGACAAGTGTACGAGGGACTTTTCCCATGAGAATCGAAGACAGACATTATTTCATCAACATATTCTCTCTGTGACTGTAGATAGAAAGTTCAGTGTGACTTCTAATCAGCTTCCTGTGATGTTTTACCAGCTCTGTCTCTGCTCTTATCTGAATGTGTGGAGTATTTGGTGGGTGTGGAAAGAATTCCAAACATTCTACTTGCAAAGACAGATTATGTATTTTTATATCTCTGCTGGAAACAGTGATCACAAATATATTTTTGTGTATAAAATCTGTATTGGTACATTGGCCGTTAAGGGTTTTAAAACAAACTCCAGTTCCTCCTAGAATTTACATAGTCCAATTTTTTTTTGTGTATTCTGGCAGTAAAGCAAAGAACAAATAAATAATACAGTTTTTAAAAAAGGAATCTTTGAATCTTAAATCCTAAATTGAATCTAAAATGTTTGATTCATCCAGCAGCTGAGCACATGTGCCCTATTTCTATGACTTTTCTTTCAGAAAGTTGGTCTCAAAAAATGCAGTTTGTATCAGCTCCGTGGGATTTAAGTCTGATTTAAGACTGTGCTGCTCTTCCATCATGTGACGGCACCATCTGGTTCTTTTCTTTTAATTTTGTGGGTCATTATTTTACTGGAGGATAAACCCACCAATGGAAAAATGTGGGTGTTGTAAATCTGTTGACAAGTAGTGTATATGTATAAAAAATGTAAATATACTGTATAGCTACTGGAAGTAGCTTTTACCGATTTCATTCTACAGTAGTGGCTTAAAGTTGCATGAACCTTCAGCAACTGACTACACAGTATGACTCCATTTTTTGTTTCGGGTGCCAAGTGATTTAAAGGCGGTGCTATGTCCGATTCACATGAGGTCACCAAACATCATAAATGATAAAGATGTGGCCTCAAAGTGCAACAACACCCAATCTGTGCAGTCACACAGTGTCAGCAAAAAAACTGCTAATGAGGCGAATAAGTGATAACAAGAGTAGGATTAAAAGATTTTCTGGATAAATTGATTACTTCTGTCTCAGTTCGTTTACTTCCATACTCCCACTTTAGATTGGACGAGTCTGTTCACACTAGCGAGTATGGAGCATTCAAGTTAACTTTGAAACAATTTAGACTTGCGATCGTAGGATTTATGTGGGTTCTCAAATACTTAGATGTAATCGGACATTCTGGGGGGGGGCTTTCTCAGCTCAGGGTCACCACGAGCACTGAACGTCTTCAATATGCTTGCTCGATGATTTACAAAAATAAAAATGGAACAAATATGCTGAATGATGAAGACGAGGTCTCACCAGGTGAGGAATAACTACAGAAAGAGAATTTGTAGAAATGTAGAGCAAAGTGATTGACATGGCCTGTCGGGATTTGTGTGGGTGTGAAATAATTGTGGAACAGGAAGATCCAACCTACCCACCATCTGTGGAAAAATGTTCAAGAACTGCAGGGAGGAACAAAAGATTGTGTGCAAGCCAAGATGTTTGCATGAAATCTTCTCTTACATCTTACATCTCTGTTTATCTTAACACGCATGCAATTGGATCGTCATCATTAAATTCACCGTCTCTGATCACCCCCCCCCCCTTACCTCCTCCAGTGCCCACAGGGAGTCGACGACCGGCTTGATCTTCTTCTGCTCATAGAGACGCAGGAGTTTGTCCATCACTGATCTGACGAGGCTACATCTGCCTTGTTTGAAGAGGAGATTGAGGAGCGAGAATCCTGCTATGACTTTGTTCTCCTCGTACAATTTAATGGGGTTCACCTTCTCCACCTGCCACCACTGCAGGAAAAGAAACACGTTCATCCTGAGTGACTCACATGTATTTCTGTGTGTGTGTGTGTGGCATTTGCCGTGAAATGTTTGGTACTATTTCCTTCAAATGTTTTGCGGACAGACTGCATCTCTGACTCACTGATTTTGCAAAGCTGAAGAAACTCTTTGTTTCCCCGGTGACCATGTTTGACGCGCCTGAAAAAACAGAAATAAAAGGGTTCGATGAATACTGTGCAACTGGGTGGACAGAAGTGACTGGTCAATAATAGGCAGCAGAGAAGCATGAAGGGTGAGTGGCACGGGGGGGGAATGGCTGGCACCTTTAGACCTTTTAGAGCTGTGCGAGCATGTCTTCGCACATGTTCAGGATATAACTAGAGAATTAATCTCTCACTAATTCTGTTACTGGATTCACGAAGCTTGACGGGAGCTGAAGTAATGAACAGATATCAGAGAAGAACGGTGGCAGTGACAGAAAATATCTTTCATTTTCAGGCTGTGGGAGGATGTTTTACTCTAGTGAGTCTCATTATCTCACACCCTGGTCAGGTTGCCATGACTGAATGTAAGACTCGCATTTAAAGGAATAGTGTGACATTAGCTTAGCATAAAGAGAGTGAACAGGGTCACAACACGCCTGGTTCTGTCCAGTGGGAACAAAATCCAAGAAACAAAGCTTCAAAATGTTTTGCTGTACAACAGAGGGTGATGTCATGAATGTGTCTTGGTGAAAGCAATTAGGCTAATCTAATATATCAGTCTCTTGGGTCAAACTTCAAAATAATTGCAGATCCATCCAGTATCTGCACAGCTTATCATTTCAGGGTCGCACAGGGGGAACTGCAGCTAATCCCGACTGACATTGAGCGAGAGGCGGGGCACAACGTGGACAAACAACCATTCACACCCATGGCCATGTTGACCTAACGTCAATGTGCATGTCTTTGGACTATGGAAGGAAGTCAGAGAAAACCCATGCAGACACGAGGAGAACATGCAGACTCCACACAGAAAGACCCACTTCGCATCAGAAATTCAGATGGGAACCCTCTGATGCAACAGTGCAAACCACTGAACCACCATGCCACTTCCTGCAGCAATAGAGTGCTGTCAATCTTCTCATGCAGCACAACACCAAAGAAGCATATACTTCAGTGTAGAGTCAAAGTGTTGTGAAGTATTCTTTTAGGTGGAAATTAAATTAACTTTGACTAAAACACTGTAAATGAAGTTATTTCCACTTTGAAAGTACTTAAAGAAAACACATGAACACAGAGTGAAAACATTGAGGAGTATTGTTCCCACCATAGAGGATGTATGTTCCCATTGGCTTCAGCAGACTCAGGCCTTTCCCTGTGTTCTCTCCACACAGACAGTCCAACAAGATGTCGACTCCCTCCGGAGAAATTCTGAAACATCGAGAACGAAGTAGAGGTGAAATCAACTGAAAAAGATTCATACAAACTTATAAAGATGTAAAAGTATAGTCCGAACATTAAAGCAGCAACTATTTTCATGATCGATTGATCCTTTATCAGTGAGCCGAATGATCCATCAAATTTTTTTTTAAAAATCAAAAAATATGGCCCCAAAAGTTTCAGAGAACCACAATTGATGTCTAATCAATAATTCAAAACCCAAATGTATTCAGTTGATGATGATAATAAACCGAACAAGACAGAGAGTTTATAAATTGTAAAGGCAAAAATCATGGAATGGCGAGAGATTTTTGCTAGAGAAAAGACTAGTTCTGAACTGAATCAATTCATTAAATTATTGAGTATAAAGATATTTTTAAGATGCAAAAAATCCCATTTAAAAAATTATCTTTGGGTTTTGAACTGTTGGTTTGACAAAACAAGCAATTTAGAGGCATCACCTTGGGAATAAGGAAATAATTGTTCTAATTGTCCTGGTTTTTCACTATTGACATTTATTGAGAATAATGAAAATCAGATTCAGCCCAAAAATATTTACAGCTCACTCTCCTGTCTATCCACTTATCAACAGACCACTTCAGCTCAAATAAAGATGTTGTTAATAGTTCATCAACAAAAACAAAAAGTACTTAAAAGTAAGATAAGACAAGAATCAATGACACGGCTGTATTTTCCTATTTATGACTGAGAGCAAACGTGGAAACACATTCAGTCAATATATTCAGCCTGTGACTCAGGATTAGACTAATTATGGATTCATAGGATGTGATCATTGATTCCTCTGGGAAAAAGTTGCAGCGTGCAACCTACATGATTCTTTTGACTCTGCCCACACTTCTCTTAGGAGGAGATTATCGAGGGTTTGCAGTGCCCACATCACTCCTCATGACTAACACCTTCTACATCATGAGAGAAAAAGTTCATCTTCTTATCAATCAGTGGCATGACCAGACTCATTGAAAGTACAGATATGAAGGAATGAAAGGCATGTTGTTATCACGGGCACCTCTAAGTCCTGACTCTCTGCCTTGTGGCCCTGGACACCTGCTTGGCTAAACTGCTTGGTGGTCTTGTGATTCCCATGGTTTTTGCCTTTTGTAAAAAGATTAATTTAATTGTACTTTGCTCGTGATCCCGAGAAGAATGTGTGAGCCAGAGAGATGAAAGAAACATTAATCCACTGCAACTGTCGACATGCGAGTAGAGAGCATGAAACAATCAGTGCTAATGAAACAACATTTGAATCTCTACGTGTTATCATCAGATCAATAAAGTCATACAGCGGGATTCCTGTGTAGCGTGGATGGTTGTCAATCAACGCAACTGTATAGCAACAAATGATGGTAAACCTCTGTGATTTCTTGAAATAATCAAAAGCTCCACAACATCTTTACTAACAGACTCTGCAGTGTAACTCAGTAAAGTTGTAGTCATTACAATTTCAGGCAGCGTTTTGCTCTGTAGCATAAAGTGGCTAACGGCTGTGTCATGGATGAGATGTGTGGGGTGTCACTGCTTGGTCCTAATGGCCTCGGTTGCTCCACATTGCCAGTGAAGACCTCCGCCCTACAGATTTCACTGCTCTCTCAGATTAACCTTTGTGCGGACCAAGGCCGCACAAGACCCAAATAAAGGAAACGGGTAGAGTCTACTCTGGTCCACCTCATCACAATTGCTGACACGTACACTGTGTGACGATGCCTTCAAAATTAGTCCAACTCTAACCATTTGTGAATTAAATGTTTCCAAATTGCATCATGATGAACTAAATCGTTACAAACTGTAATGGATGACGACACGCACAAACCGACCGCGCTTACCTTTTGACCTCTTGCACATAATCAGCGTTTCTGTCAAACAGGTGAGTCACAGAGTCTCGGATGGCTGCATGTTTAAAACATGAGGCGATCCCGAACACGGTGACATTGGGAACGGTGGAGCACAGCTGAGCCACAGCTTGACCCTGGAAATAACAAAGAGTTGCAACAATTCATCGGCAGGAACACGGAGTGCAGCTCTGAACGTACCACAATCCCAGACATAGAGCACAACACAATACACATCACATTATTCATAAAAATAAACATAAAAAAACCTCATTCATAAAGATAATGTTGTTGTCCTTATCCTCACTGTTTGTGTAATACTAATGAGGAATTGGTTAGTTTGTACTGAACACACAACACTGACTGTCTTTGGATTTAAAAAGTCATTTCAAAACATTAATCAAGGATGTTCAAGAAGTGCAGACAGAAATAATTGAAAGTTTATGTTTTCATTTTGCACTGTGGCATTAACAGCAGGGAACAAACAGCTTGCTCCATTTGCAGCTATGAAGCAGTCAGTTCTAATGAGTTGGATGAAACGGCTGAGCTCTTTGTGGCTGCATGTGTGACATCAGTCATCAGAGTCGGACTTACTACACCACCTCCTGCTGAGTGCACCAGCACCGACATCCCCTCCCGCAGATTGGCGACCTCAAAGAGCATCATATAGGCGGCCATGAAGTTCAGGGCGAACGCTGCAGCCTCAGCAAAACTCATGTCGTCTGGCATCTTGTAGACAAAGTCCACTGGTGTGCACACCACCTCTGCCCAGGCGTTGTAGTTCACAAAAGCCATGACTCTGTCGCCGATCTGAGAGAAATCATGTGACAGGTTACATACACAAGTTTGTTCATTTATTTGTTTTTTATAGGATTACGCAAAAACTACTCAATCGATTTCCATGAAACTGTGTGGAAGGGTGGGGCACGGCCCATGGCATTTTGGTGCAGATCAAGGGGATTTTTTTCTTTTAATTCAACATTGTGAGACTGGATGTTTTGCAGCATTTTTGTTGATTCCTCAAAGAATAATTCATGGATTTTGATGAAAGAAAATCAGACACATTTAGGAGACTATTATGGATGAAAACTGGAGCATATCCAATTAAAAATCCAGATCTACTGATTAAAAGAGGTTTCGTGAGGGGAGCGTTGGCCTTGGCAGAGGAGGTGCACTCTATTGAGCTCCACTCTAGTTTGTACCAGGGGCGGATCCAGTGGCAGGACCAGGAGGACACTGGGTAAGGAGTGGCCCCCAAAGTGCCCCTGTCCTGTCAGTATTATCTTTTTAAATGAACTAGGCACCTACTGACAATAAATATGACAATATGTTGAAATTTTATCTGAGCTTTTTTGAAGTACATAATGTGAATCATTTTCAAAACATATTCAGTGATACTTGACTTTGTTAAAAGCTATAGAGTTAACAGTAAACAAGTTAAGACTTAAATTAGCACCTTACTAATTAGCCTCTCTCTGTAAATTGTGGCCCCTTTGTGGCGCTTGGTTTTTAAAACTCCTCGATCCACCACTGGTTTGTAAAGTACATTATGGATTAACTCTGATGGATTTCTCATCAATATACTCTCAGCATTTTTATAACTTGTAACTTCACTAACCTCAAATCCCTTTGTGTTTTCACCCACCGACTCCACGATTCCAGAGCATTCGAACCCAGGGACAAGGGGAGGTTTTGGGGGATTATCTATTGTCCCCTGACGAACGATCAGATCCAGGAAATTCAAGCCACTGCAAGAAAAAACTAAAAAAATCAATACAGACCCTACAAATAAATAAATCATGCATCTGAACTGACTCTGACCTCAGCTGTTAAATCAATAATAAAAAGATTAACCTGAGAGATAAACCGTGGATTACTATGACTTTAATGATTAAAAGCGTTGAGTCACTGGCTCTAATAAGCTTTCTTCATTTCATTTCATTCTTCTTTAATTAACATAAACTGTGACTATTTGGCAAAGGACCGAATTCAACAATTAGAGCATTTAGAAAAAGGGACACTGCAATACCAACAAAATGACTGAATATTTTTGGAAACCAGTTGAATGGGCTCCAGCAGCCAACCTGCTTCACCAGAGGAAAATACCTGTGGCTTCATGGCTGCAAAATCCCTTTAACACAATGCAGGGTATTGATCGTTCATCCTGGTGATGAATCCTGAAATACTGAGGTGTCACAGCCCATCTGGTATTTAACGTTTGACAGGTATTGTCATATTCACCATGCTTTGACGCGGATCTTCACTTCACCCTCCTGGGGCTCGGGCATCGGCTTCCTGCTCACCCTGAGTTTGTTGAGACCTCCGAACCCCGCCAGGACCACCGCTCGCATCTCCTTGGCGTCGCCGCACGGTTCCGCCACGATCTCAGCGTCTCTCCCCACGTGTCGGTCGATCATGAACTCGGTTTCCTCCGTCATGTCTGCTCCTTCTTTCGCCATGTCGCAGACCAGCTGCTCTCCGCTCCTCTCCGCTCCTCCTCGGGGTTCACGGAGACGAGGTCGGTGCGCAGCCTGTGCGCAAACACGCGCTGTGCGGATGGATGGTTCATCCACAAATCTCACCGCCTGCGCATTTATTCCATCATGTCACATCAACAGTGCTGATTAATCTTTTTCTTGTTTTAAGTCACGGAAATATAAAAGATCAGTTGAACTGAATATCACCATTACACTGATCTGAAATTTGATTCATCCCTGTGTATTGTCTTTGCAGCAGGTTGAAGTATGAAGTGCACCACCTGCTGGTGCACTTCATACTTCATACAATCCAGAAAATACAACTCATTTACTGATTCCAGGATTTTATCCAATAATGAATATAAATACAACTTTTGAATGGATTTCCCATTCACAGGCAGCTTCTACTCCACAGAGGGAAATGCATGTGTTTGACTGTGACTTCAATAGGTTGCTATTGTGTTACTATGAGTTGATATTAAACAAATTATCCAGAAGTATATAAAAGAGTTGATTCATCTCTAATCCAACATTTGATTGTTCCAGCTTCTTAAATGGAGAAACTTCCTGTTAACACTTCAATTTTTTTTTTACAATTTCGCTTGGACAAATCTTTGGGACTATAGGTTCTGATAATAGGTATAGGTTCTAATAATTCCACTAATTGATCCATGATAAAAATGATTATCCTTTACAGTCCTGTACAAATTAATGACAATGAGCTCCACTTCAGTAAACTCAGTAAAATTATCTTGCATATTGTACATTAATAATGAATTTACATTGATGATAATAGATATAATGATAATCTCTTATATCAACACATTTAAAATACAAATGTTTTCACCTTTACTCTGCAGGGACATGGGGAAAAGAGCTAGTGTTGCAGCTCTCAGTTTGAAACTCTTACAATGTACAAATTGTTTTTAATGTTACTATTAATAGTGAATTGAGTTGAATAACCATTAATCTGATTTAAGTGAATCCAAGCATCTCATACTTATAGTCCTGCATAGAAAGATTCATTTGACTACAAGTGGGATCTGATTCTAGTATTGCATGATTCCTTTTCTTTGCTAACTTAATTAAAAACAGTTTTTCTTATTGCTATAGCGTCAAGAGTCAATCAAGGAAGAAGTATGCAGGGGAAGAGCAGCTGCTTTTTTATTATAACTCCTATTATCGATGCATAGGTAGAATAAATACATGGTCCATGTACAATCCAATGTATTGTAACCAATTAAGAAAATCAATCACATTTCATTGGACTGTAACATATATAGTGTTATCACAGTGTGAATGATTTTGCAAAGTAAAGGTCCACAAACAGAAGTGTCCCTCAGTTTTAAACAATGGTCTGTAATATTTCTCTGTTCATAAGATGATTATATTTATTATTTACTGAACTGTGTTTCATTAAACTAGCATCATGTCAACCCTAAGAAGACTTGACATTGTACCTGCATTTAACCAAGTCATTTTGTGCGTATCATAGCCTTCACTTGTTTTACATATATAATCTCAGAGGAGCAGATATCTCCCTAGTTAAAAAATATCCTGGAATTCATTTAATACACAATATCCTCTTTAAAACTGTACATTCATTAGACATACGGCGAACAAAAGGAGAAAGCTGAGAGTCAGCAGTGGAAAGACTTGCTCTAATGTTTTGGGACGTCAGTGAATATTCGCAGTCCATGCATTCCTTGAATCTCTTCCTTTAGTGCCTGTGGTAGACGAGACAAAACAGCTAATGAAGAAAATTCAACGTGAACAAACAGTTTTTATTTTTAGTAAACATGTCCACCTAAGCTATGGGGATCATCTTAAAAATATCAGAGGCATGGATGTTGAAAAGTTTCAGTACAATCAGCAGGGAAAACAAATAATATAATTACAAGTGTACCATGTAACACAGTTCAAACTATTCAGCACTTTATACTGACACCTTGATTGTTGTCATTATGATTTACCTGATTGACTAACTGATGTTGCTGCACCGTCCTTTTCCCCTTGAATTCACTGGACTCTATATGAATCTCATACATGGCCCCACAACCACCTAAACACAGCACAGGATCACACAAACAACACTGTTATTAAGTATTTCATTCAGGATTGCTTTTAACTACTGAGTGTTTTGACCATCTGGTTTCTACTTATAAAATAATCAGAGGAAGCTATTAGAGAGGTTTTTCCTAAAAAAGATTAGTATAAAATAAAGGAAATGCAGAAACCCGATAGCAAAGGTGCATCCCATTTATCAAGGGTAGCGTCATGTGCTATGATTTGGAGTCTGGGTCACAAGATAATGGAGGCTGATAGAAACAATGCAGTTACCTCCAGTTCACACGGGAAATTATTGACGGTCCCTAAAAGAAAGTCATGTGATCCAGGGTGAATAACTACGGTGGCTGAGAGAGCTCAACACAATGCAAATAAAAAAAACACATGCAAACACAACAAACAGGTAAAGAAACAGAAAGTGATGAACCCGAATATGTGTTGCGCTTTAACTGCAGACTCTTGTGTCCCTGTCCGGATCCTGTAGTTACGGTCCCAGTGTTCGCAGTGATGTGATTGGTCAGTAGTTGGATCTGTTGACAGGTGAAGTGAACCTGAACTGTCCTCGTGTCTCTGAGAACCCGGGGTAAACCTGAAGTTACCTGGCTAACCTACAGACCCACAGCTCGGTCCTCTGGTCACAGTGTCTGAGTTTCCTTTACCTGAAATATCCACGACTCTGAGGGACGACGCGGAGGGAAACTTCTCCTTCAGGACGCTGGCGATGCGGACCTCTCCGTCTGTCCCCGCCTGTGAGGACACGTGTCTCCGCACCGGGCCGACCACAACAACCTGAGGAGGCAAAGACGAGCAGCGGTCAGTGATCGACTTCCCTCCACGGGTTCACCCGCAGAGAAGTGCTGTTTACCCGGCTGGTGGAGCGCAGAGCCCGGAGGGCGGAGGTCACGGTCCCGCTCAGAGCCCGTGTACACGACGACATGGTGGAGGTGTGGAGTTTATGTACGAGACGCTCACATCCACACTGGTGATCTCAACAAGTCATGTCCTCACCACTGCTGCGGCTCACAAATATGACGTCACACATCCGGGTACCGCAAACGATATATAACTATTAAAAAAATGCAACATCTTTGGTAAATGTACAATCGGTAATGATATAAATATAACATAAACAATATGACAGTATATATATATAACATAAATAATGAAAATATTACATCAATAACATTTAAGGCAATACCAAAGAAAACGGGTGGAGAGGATATCCATATTCTTTACTTACTTAAGTGAAAACACTTAAAGTATTGAAAGTATGTAAAGTATCCAAAAGTTCCCAGTGTATAACAATGAGATAATATAGATAAGATAGACTTTATTCATCCCACACTGGGGAAATGTCGACTTTATATATATATATATATATATATATATATATATATATATATATATATAAAGATAGATAGATATAAAGATATATAGATAGATAGATAGATAGATTAACTTTGATATTTTTCGAATGAAACCTTCTGTGAACAGCCTCGGGCCCATGAGACAGTTACAGCCACTGGTCTCTTTAAAGTTCACTTTGACATTTTCATTGCTAGAGGTCTGAATGAGAAGCTTATCTCGCCCTGCAGCTTGTGGAGCTCCGCAGTAATGGAGGCAGCGGAGCGATCACTGGCTGTTGACAGTTGTCATGTCCCTTTTCACTACACGCCTGAGCTTTGTTTGTGTACAACAATTAGCAGCTGTCAAAGAAGCCATCCTTGTGACAGAAATGATCCCTAAGAGCTGGTCATGGTCAGAGTGGCTGACGTCAGTACCCTTTAAAGAAGTGTTACCATGAGAGTCTGAGCAGTTTGCAGATGCAGAGACAGAGATGGACAGCACTGCTTTCCCCTCACTGACTTTGTTGTTCCTCTTCCTCAGCCGGAGTTCTTTTGCTGATGTGGAGACAGAGGCTCTATCCTGCCCAGAATACCAGGAGAGCTTTGATGGCTCCTGCTACAAGTTTGAGGCTCTGCAGCGGTCCTTTCTGAACGCCCAGGGGTGGTGTGAGCGAGGCGGCGGACACCTCGCTTTCATCCTGAACGATGAAACTCAGCAGTTTCTGCAGAAACATCTGGAGCCAGGGAAGGACTGGTGGCTCGGGCTGGCACCTGCAGCTCCGAACCTCACGCTGGAGGCTGCTGCCACTGAGGGTGAGAGATCATGTGGTCAGAGGAAACAGCGTAGAAGGATTCAATGAGGTTTTATATGGAGTTTACATGTATTCGAGTCCTATGAGTTAGCTTACGTACAATAAAATCTGTACTAAAGTATTATTCATAAATCTGAAAACTACCCCCAGGAGCTAAACCCTTTATGTACTTTGCTTTACATATCAACAACAAATGTGATATAAATGTTGTATCTTGTTGTTTCTCTTAAAAAAGTCAGAAATCAGGTCAACTGCTTTCATTATTGCAGTGTGCACGTGAAATGTGTTTGTTCTCTGACATGAATGGAAGACTTTGGATATCTTCCTCCACCAGCAGGTGCACTGACAGATATTTCCCCATTCATTTGAACTTGTCAATAGGCTCGCTGTCAAGTGGGTTGATTTACAAACTTGTCTTTATTTCCCTTCACAGAGAACGAGTCCTTATCTCTCCCTCACCAGCTCAGTCTTTGTTGTTTTTACGATCCCTAATCGCATCTTGACAAATAGCTTAGGACCTTGTCTGAACGTCTGTGGTGATAACATCCTCTGCAGCATTTATTACTTGAATAGCAGATTTCAAAACCGAAGTTTGATGTCAGTAATTTGAGGGGTTTAATCCACTTTTCTCAGGTTCCCTTGCGTGGCTGGACAGCTCAGATGTCAGCTACAGTAACTGGGTGAACGTGCCAGATGCACAAGCAGCCTGTGGATATGTCCTGAGACATTCAGGCTTCCAGTGGGAAGCCACAGCGAACTGCAGCCAGGAACTCAACTTCATCTGCCAGTTTGGTACTCACCCCTAAATAGATATACATGCAGCATTAAACTTATGATGTGTTTGCTCCCCTTGTATTATTCTTTAATTCTTTTATTCATTTTGTTTTTAAATTCTCAGATTCCGGGAGATCCATTGCGTGTGATGGTCAAAATGCGACCCTGCAGTGTGGTTCTGGTCAAGTTATAGAGATTGACGACAGCTTTTACGGTCGAAAGACGGTTCACTACTGCAGATCCAAACTTCCAGCGTCACCCACGTCCTCGCAGGAGGAGTGCAGCTGGATAGATGTGGCGGATTCAGTCACAGGTATTTTTTACACCTGCCAGTTTGTTTGTTGGTTTTTTTAAGCAAGATTACACAAAAACAGCTGGATGGATTTCCACGAAACTTGGTGGAAAGATGAGGTTTGGGTCGAAGAGGAACCCATTAAATTTAGTTGGGGATCCGGATCAGGGGGCGGATCCAGCTAAGCCATTTTTCAACATTTCCACTGATTTTCCCGGGAAAATTAATAGATCTTGAGGAAAAGATTTTATATTAAGAGAACTGATATCTGTGTGAGATTTGTGAGTTGATGTGTTGTACCATTGTAAATGATTGTAAATCTAAATGTATTTTTTCATTAATAGAACCAGCCTCGGCTATGTTCTGCTCTGGCAATGATAGTAATAAGTAGAAAAATATATGTCTTATAGATTTGCTCTTCATTTATTTGACCAAATTTACTTCCCACCTGCTTATTATGAATAATGGGGTATTAACTGTTAAAGGCATATTTGTATTTACACTGAAAATCTATAGGAACATATTTAGCTTTGTTAAAGGACAAGATAAACATACCGAAATAATCACAAACTACACTTTTTGTTCGGTGCTTTGTGCCAAACATAAAAAGCCTGATTGCCCCATGACTGCAGACAAAAGGATTACTCTGCCAGGAAAGACAAAGACAAATCCCCTCCTGGGAGCTGAATAATGGGCTTTAGGTTAAACTCACAATCGTGTCAGTGTGGAACTTTACTGGAGGAGTTCACGCAATCAGTTTCTCCATATTGTAAATACACCTCTTTGAAAAGCTATTAGCCCCTTTTTATTAGAGGGCTATAGGAAAGAAGATAATCAACATTTAATAGGATGAAGGTTGAACTGCGTGTTTTTGTTTTGTCTGTCTCATTCCAGCCCATTGCCACGGACTGCAGGCTTGTCAGGCTCCAGTGGATCTGAGCTCTTTTGGTGAACCATGTCCTGTGCTGGGAAGTTACCTGTCTGTAGAGTACCACTGCAAACACGGTCAGACACTTTACTTTTTATTACTTCCACTTTATATAGACTATTGCTCTCTATAATAATACAGTATATCAATTATTACATGGATAAGATTAGGTTATATAAATATACCTGTATTTACTATGGGTAACTTAACCTTAACCTTAATATCTGGATTGTCAGGTGAGCTTCTCTGAAAACACAATGTATGTTTGTAAGAAGACTCAGTGGTGTCGGAGTCAGCAGATTTTAGAAATTGTGCACAAATCTCTTGATTTGAGAGTTGTTGTTTTTTTACTTTTCATCTTCCTGCCTGGTACGGTCACTTAAGCTGCAGATCCAGGAACAAATGACTTTCCACTCTGTCAAAGGGAAGCAAAAGAAAGTCAGTAAACTTTACAGAGAGGACGAGAGAGAAAATGAAAAGTATACTTACAGATAGATCCCATGTTCTCCTCAGCAGGTTTGAGCCTTTGAACTCTCGGAGGCGCTCTAGAGTCCCATATTTTTAAAAGTCCTTAATATATAACAAATAATATAACAAATATTTTCAACTCCACAGACTGTGACATCCAATTCACAGGATGTGACAGGAAGTCTTTTTGTGTGCAATTCAACCCTGTGTATGCACCTGTTGTTTTCATGTTATTTTATATTGTATTGTATATGAGGCGGCTGCATCTCAGGGGTCATACTGAACCCCACATAGAGAAAAGTGCTGCACAGAGATGCACTGCATGTGTGGGTGTAATGTAAAACTGTACTGTAAAGCACTTTGAGTCAAGACTAGAAGAGCGCTGTATAAAAACAGTCCGTTTACCATTGTCGCTTGTTTTTATGACTCTGTCTGTCATTGTTGCTTTTTTATGATTATCTGTCTTTGTGTTGAGCCGAACATCAGTTTTCCACTGAGGTGAACAATAAATTCCTCTTCTATTCTTCTACCAGTATATTAAATTACTTTACATGTGCAGTTCACTCCTATTTTGAAATGATTAAACTTGTTGTTGTCGTTGGCCTCAGACTTTGTTCCCTGTGTCTTGTGTTCCTCCTTTTGTGACCAAATTTCTTATCTTACCACCATGTAGCCTCACTATAACTGTGTCAGTGGTGTCGATAGCAGAGTGATCGCCTTGTTGCTTTTACTAATATGTGCTGCCACGTTTCCATGATCCAAACCAACTCTGTGTTTTCCTCCCAGGACTCCACTTGTTGATGAGCACACTGGCGGCTGTCTTTGATAATGTCACCATCACAGTGAAGTGGCTCCTTCATCCATTTCAGGGAAACCTGACGTGCACCGTGAACGCTGGAGACGGTCACACTATTGATCCATACAGCCCTGAAGAGTGAGTAAACCCATCAATCAGATACAGTCCACAGATGTTGATGCTGGATCTGTATTCTGAGTGAGTTGACTTTTATTTGACCTCTCTCACAGGATGGAGAGCTCCATCATTCACAAATTCACCCGCCCTGGTGTTTTCATGGTCGGGGTGGAGTGCACCACCAGCGACTGGCACGTTGCAGCTCAGAAAGCCATAACTATCCAGGAACCAGTTGGAGAGTTTAGAGCGATCAGGTGCTATAGCAGGCATGAGTCAGCAGATGGCAGTAAATGCAATGCGCTGTATGGCAGACCCGTTCAAGTTCAGGTGATGGTTGAGGCAGGTGAGTAAAAAAAGAAATAGAAGTAAACAAAATGCTTTTGATAAACTGTTAATCATAAATACACATATATATAATTGATTCCCTGATTTCTGTCAACAGGTACAAATGTTTCCTACACGATTCAACGTGAAGATTATGTGGTGACCAGCACATCAGTGGACAGA